GTTTGGACGCCCATCGCTGCTCGTTCTCCTTCAGCTCCTCCAGATCTCCCTCCAGATCGATGATCTTCTCCTGAAACACACACAGATGCGTGCAGTTCTGTCAGTGGTGCTCGTGTGTGTGTGTGTGTGTCTGCGGAGGTGTGTGTGACGTCAGCGCTGTACCTGAGCCAGCTTGAGCTGTTTAAATAAATATAAAATTTAAATGCCATATATTAATAAATACTATACTAATGTCTTAGTGAATCTAATTACATTTTTTCCCAAATTCTGTTTTTTTTTCTTTTTCTTTTTAATATGACTTTTTTTCCATTTGATTTTTCTTAGATTCTGTTTTGATAGTTACATAAAATTTTCAATAATTGACTGAAACAAATCTTATTTAAATCATGAAACGTATACAATTTAACAACATTTTATTAAAGTTTAACAAAAATGTATTTTTTGGGCCCTATAAAATCAGTTTTATTTTTCCCAAATTCTGTGTTTTCTGTTTTGATTTTTGTAGTATTTGGTTTAACGGTTTATTTAATTTTAATAATAAAAAACTGCAAAAAAATTAAAAAAAAAGCCAAACCAATTAAATTCATAAAACTCTTAACAGTTTAATAATTGATTAAAATGTTTACAATAATAGTAAACAAGATATTAATACAAAATGTTTTTTTTTTTTGTAGTTTTGATGTTGTCGGTTTCTGGATTTACAATTGAATACATATTTATCAAAAATGGCAGTAATGAAATAAAGCCATGAAACGAAGGATTAAATTAATCTTTTAAAATGTGATCAAATGAAAATGTTATTTTTGGAACAATAGAGGTTTACTGTTAACATACAAACATGGAACAAACTGTGATAATTAAAAAATAATTTATTATAATTACTATATTATTATATTATTATTATTATATTATACTTTGAGAAGTAATACTAATAATAATAGTTAAACTAAGCACACGCTCCCGCAGCTGGATCTCCTCCTCCAGCGTCTGCTCCTTATCACTCAGCTTACCTGACACCTGACACACACACACACACACACACGAGTCAGATGGAGCCCAGCGCAACTTACAGATCAAACACAGCAACTCAGTACATTATGATTAGACGAACCATGATCAAATCTCTGATAAAACTAACACACCTGAAGATCATATGTATTTTATTTCTTTTTTTAAATTTAAACGTTTAGTAATTTTGTAATTTTTTGTAGAAATTATTATAGTAGTGGTTTAATAGTAATTTTAATAGTAGTTTTGTCGTTTTTATTTTTATTATTTTATTTATGTATTATTTTTATTCTTTGCTCTTGTGCTTTAGTAATGCACTGCATCTTTTGTCAAGCAAATAAACCCCCAAAAATGCTAAATGCTTTACAAAAATGTACTAGTAATCTAATTTAATTTCAGAATTCTTGTAATTTAATTATTTTTTATTTTAAAATAAAAACCAAGTCATAAAATAATTATTCAAGTAATTTTAATTTGAGTGGTTTTGGCATTATTATTATTATTATTAAATATGTCTGTGTATTTTTTAAATGTTTTTTTAGTTTTAGTCATTTTAGTAGGCTACATTTTAACTAAAAAAAGAAAACATGAGAAATATTTCTCAAGAAAACTTAAAAATACGTTTTTTTTTTTTAGTATTTTCTTTTATTTCAGTTAATTTTATTTCAAGTAATGATTTTTTTTATGGTTTTACTTTTTGTTAATGTAACTAAATTAGCATGAATATACTATGATACACACTAATATTTAAAAGCCTGGGGGTTGATACAGTTTTTCTACTCACCAAGGCTGCATTTATTTGATCAAAAATACAGTAAAAATTCTGAAATATTATTAGAATTTAAAACAGCTGTTTTCTATGTGAATATCTGTTAAACTGTAATTTATTTCTGTGATCAAAGCTGAATTGCTGAGAAACATTTCTGATTATTATCAATGTTGAAAACCGTTGTGCTGCACAATATTTTTTATTATACATTTGATTTTTCAGGATTCACAGATGATTAGAAAGTTCAAAAGAGCAGCGTTTATTTGAAATAGAAATGTTTTGTAACATTATAAATGTCTGTACTGGCACTTCTGATCAATTGAATGCATCCTTGCTGAATAACAGTATTGATTTCTTTGAGAAAGCGATATGAATGTGTATTAATGGGACCTCTCCCTGTAGTCTGCTGACGATCTGTGTGAGGCGCAGCAGCTCCTGGTCTTTCTCCAGCACGCTCTCCTCCAGCTCCTCCATCCGCAGCTGAACATCAGCCCTCAGCTTCTGCTGCAAACTCAGCTCCACTCGTGCCTGGTTCCCCTCCTGCAGCGCGTCTGCCAGCTGACACACACAATAAACATCACAGGATCAAAAAATCAATCAATATTTATTTAAATATTTCTTAAGACTTACTAATCATTTTTTAACATTTGTAAAAATCATTATTTTATTTAATACATATAATTATTTATATTATATTAGTATTAAATTATTTTAAAAACACCTGCAAGCCAAGCAGGTGTGTGTGTGTGTGTGTGTGAGTGTGTGTGTGAGAGTGTGTGTGTGTGTGCGAGAGAGTGAGTGAGTGTGTGTGTGTGTGTGTGTGTGTGTGTGTGTGAGTGTGTGTGAGTGTGCGCGCGTGTGAGTGTGCGTTTGTGTCTGTGTGTGTCTATGCGTGTATGCGTGTGTGTGTGTGAGAGTGTGTTTGTGTGTGTGAGTGAGTGTGTGTCTGTGTCTATGCGCGTGTGTGTGTGTGTGTGTGTACCTCTGTCTCCAGTCTTAAAACAGTGTTGCTGAGTTCCAGAGCTTTCTTGGCTTTGGTTTCCTTCTCCAGCTCCAGCTCCTCCAGGTTTCTCTCGGCGAGCCACAGTTTTTCTGACACAGTCTGAGCGTGTTGAGCTTGTTTCTCCAGAGCTTCCTGAAGAAAACACACACAGAAGGTCAGCTTGAGAAAACATCCAAAATAAAAGCCAACAACAGTCACATACATTCATTTTCACACGGTAAATAAAGCCCAGATGAGCAGCTTTCAATAACCAGTTACTTGATGTAAAATGATATTATTATTACCCCTAATTTTACATTTTGCTTATTAAACACCATTAGTTGTTGAAAAGCATTTAGCATTTTATGGGGTTTATTTGCATGACAAAAGGTGCAGTGCATTACTAATGCAAAAAAACAGAGAAAAAAATAATACATGAATAATAATAATAATAATCAAAATAATAAAACTTTATGAATATATATTTATATAAATATATTATAAATTATTATTACCCCCAATTTTACATTTAGCATAAAATAATAATAAATATAACAATAATAATAATACTACACACAAAATAATATAATAAAATAAATAAATAAATGTACAATAATATAAGAATAACATAAAAAACTATAAATATAAAATAATATAATAAAATAATTAATACATATAAAATGAATGTAAGAATAAAAGAAATAATAAAACAAAT